CCGGTGTATTTTTTTCTATTGATGTACAGAGGGGTGTAAGATATAGTCATTGTCACTGTGTGACTGCGTAGATAAACAAATGATAAAGCAACAGACTCACTGTGTCTTCTCTGTATAAGATACACTTCTGCCAGGTATGTGTAGGTGCTGTCCTGATGTCATATGCCTGTTTCCAGGCTCGGGCATGGTGACTGCTGTAAAACATGGTACTTCCTGTATTAGCACTGTCTCGTCTGAAAGTGAGTAAATAAAACTGCAATTACCAAATCTCTCCCTTGCCTGTTCAGTGCATGCTTCGAGAATGTCACAGAATTGTTAGGGTGGGAAGGAACCTCTGGAGATCATCTAGTCCAACTCCCCTGCCAAGGCAGGGTCACCTGAGCAGGTGACACAGAAACGCACCCAGGTGGGTTTTGAATGTCGTCAGAGATGGAGACCCCATGACCTCCGTGGGCAGCCTGTGTTGCATATGTAAGTGAAAGGTGGTGATGTGGAGATGCAGCTGAAACCTTGTCAGTGTCTTTTTAATGTCAGTAGGGAGGGCAAAACTGTGTGAACACACCCCTCTGCATCAGCACCACTTCTTTTGCTTTACCCTTACCGTGCTTCTTTTAGGGCTTCTGGACTTTTAAATGTGTGCTTTACTCTTGCAAGAAGAGGCTGCCAGGATATTATTTCTGCTTCCTTTGTGGGGAGCGGGGAGTGACAGAAGGTACTTGATGCCACCTGCTGAGGAAAAGGGTGGGAGCTGCAGAAGGACCCCCGGCACTTCTCTGGGTGAGCGGAGGGGAAAAAGGAGGTGTTGGCGAAGGGGAAGCCTTCGGGCCCTGCCTGCGCGAGGAGGAGCCGCTTTCCGCCGGGGCGGAGAGACCGTGTGTGGGGCGGGAGCGGTGGGAAGCCGGGAAGCAGCCCTGGGCCGGCCGCCGTCCCTTCGCCGCCGCGCTGGGTGAGTGCCGGGGAAGGGCCGGGGGCGCGGGAGGGGCGCCGGGCTGCGGGTCGGCGGCCGTGCCGGGACAGGGACGGAGGGTGCGAGCCCAAGTTTCTGCTTCCTGTAAACCAAAGTTTGTGTTACCGCGTGAAAGGCTTGCGAGGTGGGTGGGGAAGGGCTGCGCCCCGGCGGCTCCCGCTCCTGAACTGGAAACTTCAGGGATCCTTCCCGTTTCCTCCCTCCGGAGGGTCCCTCCCGCCGCGGGGAGGAGGCGGCAGGCGGTGTT